AATAAATGTTTGTGGGTAGTGTCATTTTCATGACAAATACTGTTTGGTTAGCTAATTGAGTTAAGGACCTAATTAACTTTTAGATAGTTCAATCTTGTTTGTACTACATAAGCAACTGGAAAATGATTGCGATTAGGGTGGGCAAATCTTAGTTTTGGTTTTAGCCAAAACTGAGATTTGATTAACTAAAAATTTTTTGTTGAAATTTTTAAGATCAAAACTAATATCAAAATAAATATTATTTTTTTGGTTCAGTTATTCAAAATTTTGGTTATTATAAGTTTCATTTTAGTTTTAACCAATAATTATCAAATATAAAAAAAAGATAAAAAAAGTAAATAACTGAGAGTAAGGTATGAAATTTTTTTTTATTTTTAAATATATTTTAAATTCAAAGCCTATATTATAATAAAATTTATAGGGTAATACTTGAAAAAGTGATTGAATATTATGAATTTTACATTTATTTATAATATACAAATAATAATTATTTATTCATTAATATAAGTTTTTTTTTTTGGTTGTATATCGGGCTTTCAGTTTTTAGACCCCCACCAACCTAATTTTTTAGTTATAACAAAAAAAAAAAAAAAGCCAGTTATATCTTACTATTTGGTTATTTTTTAATCGTTTTTCAGTTAATCATTTAGTTAACTAACCATTTGTCCACCCCTAATTGAGATATTACGCCCCCCCCCCTCCGTTTTTTTTTTTTTTTTTGTAAAATTTAAAGCCTGTTTTCTGTTTGGTTGCTTTATCTATGAAAAAAGAATTTAGGGAAATATTTCGATATGAAATTACTTAACCAGCCTTAAATTTTTCTGTTGACTAATATCCTTTTTACAAAATTTGGGGGCAACTGGGTAACAACCTTCTCGAGTGCTTGGCAACCAAACTCAGCCTTAGAGAACATATTGAGAATTTGAGAAATCACATATATAAATCTCTAAGAGATGATTCCAACCATCTATTTTATTTATTCATGTGTTAGGTTTTTGGAATGTTGATTAATAGACAGGCATTCTCACACATTTAAAAATGAAAATGGAATAAATATTAATACTAGCAACAGTGAGATCCATCGTCCACCCAACAAATCATGTGTGGAGAAAAAATAGACAAAAGCATTAGTTGTTTGTTAACCTTTGAGGCATCAAACCATATGAGTGGTTCAGAATATTAGGTCTTTCCATCATCCATTAACAACTTGGGTCAATGCCTATCTAGAAAAGAGAAAACAAAGGAAGTTGAGGACACATTATGACCACTACCAAGTAAAGAGCATTAGAACTAGAACACACAATTTGAGAATTTAATTGATATAAATAATTTGTTACCACTAAAAAATTGCATAGACTATGGATTCCAAGAGAATTTAAGTGCTTATGGTACCCAGCAGTCATTTTATATTAATGGGTGGTATGGACTATAACATAATGTTTTCCTCCATGAGATTGGTTTGTAAGTATAGGTATGTCATGCATCCATGTTGGAATTAGGGTATTAACAAAAAAAAACATCCTTGTTGGTCATGGCGATTACTATGAAATCAAATGTTAGTTAATAAAATAAAAAATAAATTCTCTGCTAATTAAGTCACAACTTGTTGAGTATGATGCTTTCTTGACCAACATCATTTGTACGTTGACTCTCACCAGTGGCGCAGGAAATTAGGAATTTCAGATGGATATGGCCTCTTTCTTGAGGCCATGGGAAAAAAAAAATTAAATAAAAGGATGATGATGAAGAAAGCTCAAGGCTAAACACCGCAGCTGAAAAGTAAATATTCAGTATGGAAAAGTTGTGGACGAAATTAAAAGAGGCATTCTCCCAAACAGTCCCTCTTCTTCATCTTTATTCTGCCGTGCCAACCCAAATACCACCTCCCCCAGCTACACATGATTTATTATTTTGTAAATGAAACCCACCAACAATCAATATAAATCATAATTAATTACTTCTATCTTTATTTATCAATCTAGACACTAAACAGTTCTCCACTTGATAATTGATGCAAGAAATCCTAGTTTCTAATGTGATAACACGTTGAGTACTAGTAATTCTCGGTTGAGTCCTTATCTTGAACATTTGATATTTCTCAAGATCAAACTCCAAGGTTTAAATCTATTGGTAAGTAAGTATTGTATATAAATTAAGTTCAAAATTCAAGTTTTAGGGTTATCAAAGAAGTTAATTTCTTTAAATGCATAAAGTCAATGTGAAGGCACTACCTTTAAAATCATCCGAAAAGAAATTAATCTTTAAATGCATAAAGGTTGAGTTAGAGATACAATTAAAAATCAAAATTTATTGACAATTTAAAAAAATGGAGAGCACCCGGGTTTCGACAAGGAGCGCGGCAACAAGGAAAGACAGTGGCTACAGACAGCAGCAAGGATACAAGAATGGTTTTGCAAGTGGCTACCGACAACGACAAGGATACAGGAATGGTTTTGCAGGTTATAACGCACAGTCCTTCGGAGGGTCAACGACATTCTTCTTTAATAACTTCCCAGAGGAATTGGAGGCAAAATTTCTATGGAACAGCTTTCAGATGTACGGCAAGGTTGTTGATGTGTATCTTCCGAGAAAACGTGATAAGAGAGGGAAGAGGTATGGTTTTGTGCGGCTAACAGGGGTCAAGGATGAGATTCAAATGGAGATGAGGTTGAATGAGATTTGGATTGGCTCGTATAAAATGAGAGTGAAGATTGCAAATGACAAACAGAGGAAAACATCAACGCCCAAGAAGGTTCAAGGCGTGCCTAAAGTTAATGGATCAACATGCAGCATGAATAGATTGGTCCAACTAGGGCATTCATACGCACAAGCAGTGAAGGGACAAGGAAAAAAGGCAGATAAGGTATCAGAACACCTTCAGGAAAAGGAAAAAGAAGCAGCCCCGAAAAAGGAAGTTGTCAAAACATGGTTACAAGAAAATATGGATGTAGAAAAAACAGAGGAGACTATTGAATTCACCCCAACGAGAGAAGAGCTGCAATGGCTTGAGGGTGGCATGGTGGCAGTGGTGAGGTCAATGGCGCTGGTGTCTGAGATTCAAGAGCAAATGGACGCTGATGGAGGCTCAATCTCGTTATCACCAATTGGGGGAAGACAGGTGTTACTAACTGAAAGAGTTGCAGGGTTTTTATCCGATTATATAAAGCATAATCAAGAGTTGTTTGGATTGTGGTTTGAGTCTATAAAACCATGGGAGATGCCACAAGAGAAGAAAAGCCGAATGATGTGGGTGTGCATATCGAGAGTGCCATTAAAGGCATGGGGTGAGAGGTGTTTTCAGATGATAGGCGAGACAATCGGAGAAGTTTTGATGGTTCATGAGGATACAAAGAAGAAATCAATCTTATGGGATGGGAGAGTACTGATTTTATGCTCGGATTCTAGTAAAATCTCAAAACAAATTAAGTTGAAGGTGGAAGAGCAGGTGTGCGAGATAGAGATAGTTGAAGAGGAGTGGCGCTCCAATCCAGATTGGTGGCTATCAAAGAATGACCGGAGAAGTGACCTGGAAACGGAGTCCGATTACTCAAACTCGTGGTGTCAGAATGAGTATCAAGAACTGGATATGGATGTGATTGGCAACGACGAAGATACAAGTAACGGGTCAGAGCATTTAATGAAGGATTTGGTTTCAATTTCAAATCCAAAGAAGGCAACGGTAACGGAGAGCTGTAATCAAATTGTGCAAGAGACAGAGTTAGAAGGGGATGCAAGCTTTGGGCTGCCCAAGGAAATTGGGCCACAAAGATTGAGTTGTGTTGGGCCAGAAGAAAACAGTGGGCCGACTAATAGGATGGGCTGGGGACAGATCAAGGAAATGAGCATAGAGGAGCCCATTTTAAATGCTCAAAACCAGATGGATTCAACGTCAATACAGAAATCGAAAAACTCAAAAAAAGGGAGAAAAAAACAGAGGCTTCTCAAAGAATGTTATCCAGAGAGCATGGAGGAGATCTGGGCAAAAGCAGCATCGAGAGTAACACCAAGAATAAGACAGCGACAAGAACGGAGAGAGGGAATTGGCCAAGCTGGGGATGAAAAGGTATGCAACGCTGTTGCTGTTTCTATTTCAGATGGTTGTATTGAAAATAGAAATAAGGTGATGCAGAGGGAGATGAATAGCATGAGGTGCGCCGGATGATGGGGGTGGGGAAGAGGTTGGGTTTTAAATTTGATAATAATGAGGAGGAGATTCAATCAAAGTTACTAGAGGTTATAGATCGAGAAAGGGCAGGGAGGAGGGACGCATCGGGGTTGTAAGGGCGTTTGTGTCGAACGGAGGTTGTGCGATTAGTATTGATTTATGAAATTTATATATTTTAATGTAAGGGGCTAGGGTGGGACGCTGAAAAAGAAGGAAGTGAGAAGGTTGGTTACTGAAGAGAAGCCCGATTTTCTGTTCCTGCAAGAAACAAAGTTAGAAAAGGTGGATGTAGATATTTGTAGCCAGTTATGGAATTCAGATGAGTTAGATTGGGTTACGAAGGGCTCTGCTGGAGCTTCAAGGGGTTTACTATGTATATGGGACAAACGACGCTTTATTAAGAGGGAAGAATTCATTGGAGATGGATTCGTGGGAATTTCAGGGGAATGGGGAGCAAATAAACAGCAGTATTCTTTAATAAACGTGTATGGTCCAAAGGATAGACAGAAAAAGGCTAGTTTGTGGGAGGAGTTGAGGAGAATGGTGACAGACAAGAAGGGATGTTGGTTAATAGCAGGGGACTTTAATGCAGTGAGAGATCCTGGGGAGAGATGAGGAAGAACAGGAGAGAGCCCAAACATGAAGGACTTTGATGAGTTTATTGTGTCAACTAATTTGATGGATGTCAAATTGACAAATAGAAGGTATACATGGTACAAGCCAGATGGTACAACAAGGAGTAGATGAGACAGATTTTTATTGAGTACTGAGATGAGTAATTTAGAAGGGGAGTGGATACAGCAAGGATTGCCAAGGAATATCTCTGATCATTGCGCAATTGTGTTGAAGTCCAGATCAGCAGATTGGGGACCAAGACCTTTCCGGGTTTTGGACGCATGGCAACAACATCCAGATTTCAAGAGGTTTGTAGAAGATAAATGGAGTGAGATGGAGGTGGAGGGTTTTGCAGGGTATAAATGCCAACAAAAGCTGAAATTGCTCAAAGGATTCTTAAAAGGTTGGAACAAGGAAGTCTTTGGGAACATGGAAGCTCAATATGAGCAAGCTGTAAAAAAGATTGAGCATGCTGATATGCAGAATGAGATATCTGATCTCGAAGATGCTGAGATTGTGAAGAGGCAAGAAGGCTTTTCTGAGATATGGGATGTTTTGAGAAAGAAGGAACTTATTTGGAAGCAGAAATCAAGAAGTAAATGGGTGCGTGAGAGAGATGCAAACACCCATTTTTTTCATAGAGTCGCAAAAGGAAGAAGGGCACATAATAATATTGCGGGCTTAATGTATGAAAGGGCATGGATTGATGATCCAAATTTAGTAAAAAATGAGGTCTGCAGATATTTTAGAAGCCTGTTTCAAGGAGAGTCATGGAATAGACCCAAGCCTGGGGATATTAGATTCCAGCAGATCTCTGAGGAGAAAAACAATTGGCTAGAAAGACCTTTTTCAGTTGAAGAAATCGAGGAAGGGTTAAGGAGCTATGATGGTTCAAAGGCACCAGGACCTGATGGGTACAATTTCAACTTCCTTAAATTTGCGTGGCACTGCATAAAGGAGGACTTCATCAACTTTTTTTCTGAATTCCATCGTAATGGTAAATTGGTGAGGGGACTAAATTCTTCTTTTATAGCCCTGATTCCTAAAAAGTTGAATGCTGGGGGACTAAAGGATTATAGACCCATTAGCTTGATAGGATGTGTCTATAAATTATTAGCGAAGGTGCTGGCAAATAGATTGAAATCTGTGGTAGCAGAAATAGTGAGTGAAACGCAATCAGCCTTTGTGGGAGGCCGTCAGTTGGTGGATAGTGTCTTGGTGCTGAATGAAGTTGTGGATGAAATTAAGACGAAGAAACAGCCAGCTTTTGTTTTCAAAGCAGATTTTGAAAAGGCATACGATTGCGTAGATTGGTCCTTTTTGGATTGGATGATGGAGAGTCTAAGCTTTGGAACAAAGTGGAGAGGCTGGATTAGGGAATGTCTTTCAACTACGAGAATCTCGGTCCTGGTAAACGGAAGCCCGACAAAGGAATTTGAGATGGGTAAAGGTTTGAGACAAGGTGACCCTCTATCTCCTTTTCTCGTTTTGATGATTGCAGAGGGGTTACAAGGTCTGGTACAGAGAGCAGTAAAGGAAGGAATGTTGCATGGGATTGAGATTGGAAAGAAAGGTCTGTCCGTGTCGTTGCTCCAATTTGCTGATGATACAATTATTATGGGCAGAGCGGATACTGAGAATATACGTATGGTGAAGGACATCCTAAAATGGTTTGAGCTTATGTCGGGATTGAGGATTAACTTTAGCAAGAGCAGTGTTTTCGGTTATAATGTGTCAGAGAAATGGCTTAAAGGTTCAGCGGGTATGTTACATTGTAGGGTTGGTAAAGCACATTTTCTTTATCTGGGATTGCCTGCTAACGAAAAATTTGGGAACAAGAAATTATGGGAGCTGGTTGTAAATAAATTCCGTGCCAAACTCGCTGTCTGGAAGGCCGCTACTCTTTCCTTTGAAGGCCGCCTCATCTTGCTAAACTCGGTACTCTCTACACTACCTATATTTTATATGTCTTTATATTTATTACCAAATTCTGTGCTTGAGGAGTTGATTAGAATTCAAAGGAATTTTTTATGGGGCGGGACAGGGTCAAATAAGAAGATTTCATGGGTTAAATGGGAATATGTGGGTCGTGCTAAAGCCAAGGAGGGTCTTGGGGTGCCAAATTTACAAAGAAAAAATTGGGCAATGCTAGGAAAGTGGTGGTATAGGTTAGGTGACGGGGTCGAGAGTTTATGGAAAAGGGTGGTGAGGGAGAAATATTATGGTGGTAGGGAGGAGGTCGATATTACTACAATTGAGTGTTTAAGGGTGTCAAAGCTTTGGAGGGACATTATTAGGATAGGGGGTCTGTCTCTCAAACTTAGGAACATGCTAGTTAAGGGTTTCAAGTGGGAGGTGGGTGAAGGAAATAAAGTGGATTTTTGGATTGATAGGTGGGTTGGAGATAAAAGTCTTAAGGATCTTTTTCCAAGGTTATTTGCATTATCTGTAAAGAAGGAGGGCAAGGTTTATGAAATGGGGACTTGGGAAGAGGGTAGATGGCGTTGGAGGGTGGAGTGGAGGAGGGGTACAATAGGGCGAGAGAAAGATGAGGAGGAGTTGCTGGAGAAGGTGCTGGAGGGGGTCAAACTAAAGGAGGGGGCTGGGGATGTTTGGAAGTGAGTCCATGTGATGGATGGCCAATATGTGGTGAAGCTAGCGTATGATTTTTTAGCTTCTACGGAGAGGGCTTTGGAGGACCAGATGTGCAAACTAATAGGGTGCAGGTTGGTGCCCTCCAAAGTGGCTTTTTTTGGGTGGCGATTGTGTTTAGATAGACTCCCAACAAAGAATAACTTGCAAAAACGAGGGATATTGTTGCAGGAGGGGGTATTTTGTGAATACTGTAATGGGAAGGTGGAGGAAGTTAATCATTTATTTTGCTTATGTTATAATGCGTGGTTAGCTTCGACTCAGGTGTTGAGTTGGTGGGGCTTGGAGTCTGTTCTGCCTAATACAGTTGTGGGATTGGCAGAATTTTTCATTGGAGGTTTGGGCAGAATAGTTGGGAAGGAGATGGGATCATGTATTTTTCTAGTGGTCGCCTGGTATTTATGGTATAGACGGAATGTTCAAGTGTTTCGAAAAGATGTAGGAATACCAGAAAACCTGCTGGAAAGGATGCAAGTTAAAACCTTTTTATGGATTAAATCCAAAGTCAATGGCTGTGTTTTTTCCTTCTATGAATGGCAATCCTATCCTATGGAGTGTGCTATGTCTGTCAAAAACCATAAAAGGATGAGGAAGCAGTTCTATAAAGCTGTCGCATCTTCTAGTTGATGGATAGGCGGAGCAGATTTGTCTTCTATTATTTAGTATTGGGCACCTGACGTTTTTTGTGTTTTTATTGTGGTTGTTCAGCTGTGTCATTTTCTGGTTATTTGGAGAGTGGCTCTCCTTTGTTGTGGTTTCCAATTTTTGTATATGGGCAGGAGCACCCCTTGTACTTCATTAAATTAAAATTTCTTTGGCTGATAAAAAAAAAAAAAAGGTTGAGTTAGAGATACTCTAATAGTAAATACCAAAAAAAATACTCTTGAGATCAAGAAAATCTCTGACTATAATTAAATACTTAATCACAGACCATTATCAAGAGTGAAAATCTTGGAATCTCCAGGTTTGCTGCAGCCAAACAGAACAGAACAATATAAAACTCTTGCCAGGTCCCATATCAAAAGGCAGTGATCATTTTTCAAAGGAAAAAATTGTTTATCAGCCGATTTTATAAAAATTCTATCAGTTAATTTTATAAAAAAATTAAGCAAAAAATATTTTAAAATTATATCGTTTTAATAAATTTTTATTAAATTTATTTAAAAATTTAAAATAATATAATTTTAGTCTTTTTTGTGATATTTTATTAAAATAATATTATTTTAAAATATATGTTTACCTAATATTTTATAAATCTGATTAATAAAAACTAATATCTTTTTAAAAATAAACAAATAATTTTCTTCCTGCGCAAAAATAAACTAAAGAAGATTAAGAATTCAGTAAGGGCCAAATGGAGTTGAATAGATAGGGTACCAAAATGTCAGATCATGAGCTAGTGGAGAATCAATGACATGTTCCTATCAAGTGTCTTGGCACCATTTCAATCTTTGTTGCTCATGATTACAATTGACATGTAAAAGTGACCTGAGAATTGAAAGGATGCTAAAAGAGCATAGAATTTGGTTAAAGTTTATGAGGGTCTAATTCAGGAAAAGTAGAAAACTGCTTAATGTTGCAGGATCAGATACCTTATCTCGATATCTGAATGCAACATGTGAAGCCCTCATTTAATGGAAGGGTCAAGAAGGCAGGCTCCAGCATACTCATCAACAGTGACGGAGCTTGGGCACAATGTTTGGGAGGGGCGATTTTTTTTTTTTTCTATAACCTATAAATGTAAGTATATCATATATCTAACCTAATTTCATTAACCAGTCATAATTTACCAAAACTTATTATAAGTTAAAAGAAAAGTAAAAAAAAAAAATCATTGTATATATCAGATATCTAAATATAAGGTGATGTAAACTATACTATACATATTTATTATATGTAATAAAATCTATAATTAATTTAATTAATATAAAATTTTAAATTAACTCTCCATAACATTTCTCCTTTTCCTTTCTACCATTTCTAATTTTTTGCCATCCTCTTCTCGAATTTGACGTGTGACTTATAAAATTTATAGAGATTTTATTGTCATTTTACTCAAAATTTGAAATTATAGTTGATTGACTTATTGCCTTGAGCATTTATCTTAAATTTATTTACTTTTTTAAAGATATTTTTAGGAAATAAAGGAAATAGCTAACCATTTTTTGACAAAAAAAATTTAAATTTTTAACTCATAATTATGAAGTAGAATGCTTAAAAGGTAATTTATGTAAACTTTAAACTTTCAATTTGCATTATTTTATATTATATAAGAGTAAAGTAACCTTAAAATTACCAAAAACTTAAAAAAAAAAAAGACAAAAATAAACAAGCATGACTAGAATTATGGTTTTTTCTAATAAGTGTTTTAATGCTTTTTTAAATAATTAGGATATGTATATTAATTTTTTTTTTC